TTTTTTTATGGATCTTTTAAAAGTTAAAACATTTCAGCTACTTAATTAATTAATTGTACCAGTATGTACACGTATTTACAATATTTCTAGTCAACCAAGAAACCAATCAGCGATTGCTTTCAAGATTTAATGTACCTGTTGAATTTTCTGGTTGGGTGAGTAAGATAGGATTTGAATAATTCAACAGCCAAGTTTATGTTTTTGATTTCATGTATGTTTCCGGAACGGAAGAGAAACAAGGTTTCATACACTTTTCACTGAAACATTCTGAATATCCAATTACAAGATATTATGCACAAGATTCGCATATTTCGTTCTTTGCTGAATTAATTAATCAAATACCGAGACGTCCAGATTAAATCATCCTAGTTTCAATACAGTACAGGTGAACATTTGACTTTGGCTTAACAATTGACTTAACTGACTTGAAGTGAAAATTTGCCTTTGAGTTAACATAACACTTCGTGTTAACATTTGATTTCGAGTTAACATTTAACTTTGAGTGAACATTTGACTCCGAGTGAACATTTGGTCTATGAGCAAATATTTGACTTTAAACATTTCACATCAAGTGAAGTCTTGACTTGGAGTTGAACAATTGATTTCGAGTGAACATTTGTCTTCAAGTGAACTTTTTTTACTTCGAGTGAACATTTGTTTTTCGAACGAACATCTGCTTCGACCATTTTACTTTTGCGTGAACACTTGACTTGAAGTGAAGGAACACATGGCATTGAATATTATCAAAGTAAGCATTTGAATACAACAAATTCTGAAACGTTGCAGAGATGTAACATCAACATGATATAAAACCATGAATGTTAAGATTAAGTTTATAACTGGAATACGACTTGACCGAAATTCGATTTTATTCAAATGACATGTATATAATTGTATAATGCTCATTAACAATTCTTAATCAATAACTGGAAAAAACTTTCAACACTGTCATATTCGGACTGCTTCACCAAAATTGTTTTTAAAACTGGCATATCCAGTTTTACATTTCCTAGCTTTTTCCCAGCGCTTCTGGACTCTGTGATTAGTTTTTTCTCCATATTTAATTAACACGGTCTTGTCAACTATTCTTCTCGATGTATCTTTATAATTTTGCCAGTTTCTGTAATGGTGAAGTAGACCTAATTCTACAGGTACTGTGTATGAACGACTTCCCGATACCTCGTGAATCATCAAACTTTTGTCTTCTTTGATCGTCCTTGTAAAATACTTTGACCTTGACCTAGCAGGAAATATGACATCTTCATGTTCAAAATATTGTAACGATATGATATTAAACTTTTGAGCAATGATTTTATTTCGAAACTGATTTATATAACTGGTCCATTCTTTTCTGAAAAATGTATTGCGGAAAATATAAGTATCATATTCCGACGGGAGCTGTGTAAAGAGTTCAGACCATGTAGAAGCATTATCAGAGTGTGGTATTATAAACTCATCTACATCAACATTGATTACGAACTCTGAATGCGCTCTGTTTCGATACAGACAGTCCTGGAGCATTGGAATCATTCCGATAGAATGGATATCTACAGTATCTGATGTTTTCGGCCATGTGTAACTCTTAATCGGTAAATCCCATTGTACAACTTCTACGATGTCTTCTTCAACATAATTGTTGAGCACTTGATCAGTGTTCATTGCGATAGAGTAATTGTACACAATGATCTTTTCTGCTCCAAGCATCTTGTTAAATTCTATCCACTCAACGAGTTCGTAAGCTCTACCATACCGGAAATGCAACGGTTTCAAACAGACCGTGAACTTCCGTTGATATTTTTGTGGTGCTCTTCCATTCTTCACCTTAAGTAGATGAAGAGGCACCTGACATTGACTTGTTACCAATGAAATATAATGAGTATTGGAAGGTACACCAGGGCAAATAAATACAGAACCTGAGTATCTGAAATAAATATTAAAAACAGTACATGATAAAAGAAATGTTAAAGTATTGTCTCTGTAGTTATAATTTTAATAAAATTGAGCGAGCGAGTGAGTGAGTAAATGAGTGAGTAAATGTAACAATGAATGAATGAATAAATGAATGAATGAATGAATGAATGAATGAACGAACGAACGAACGAACGAACGAACGAATGAATGAATGAATGGATTGATGAATGAATGAATGAATGAATGAATGAATGAATGAATGAATGAATGAATGAAGGAATAAAGCTTACTTTTTCCCATGGCTCTCAGGAAGGACGTGTATATTTGCAGGTTTTTCATGCATTATAATTGTATCATTCGCCGGCATTAAATGCCAGTATTGGCAAAATATTTTCGCTATACTACGAGTGCTTGCACCGACCACTTTAATTTTACCACTTTGTTCAACAATATATGCAGAAAACACAAACGCATTCTCCTTTTCGTCTACTCTTCTCCACGATTCTTCTTTCAGTAACTCGGCCGGGTACATGATATTAATGCAATCACCATTTGTCACGTGTATTTCTTTCATTAATTGTAATGTGTTTGTTTGATTTACTTTTTTCGTCATTTTCGATGACTGTGACTGTGGGAGAAATATATCCAGACTCTTTGAATTTAAATGCATGCGTTTGGCAAGCGAATTCTCAGAACTTAATAACATATGATAGCATATCAACATAGTCTGTACTCCTAGAATTACTATCACTGTTTGACGGTATTTGATCCTCATCTTGTTTCAAAATTTAATCGATTCTATCTTCTTTTTCTATTTGATATCTTTTTCATTAAATGTCTGTTAAGTTTGCTTAAAACTTGCTGGCAAAATAGGGATTAGTTTATACAAAATCATCATAATAAATTTGTCTACGTAGATATTCTCTTAAATATTCTAGTCCTAATCATGGTTGTGTGAACACCATTTACTCCAAGACAACCTATGTGAATGGCAATAAACTTAAATCCAGCAAAATTGATTTCATCATTTGTTTTATAACAGGTTATTTCTGAATTTAAACAATAATGTTCATGCAAAATATGTTTCACACCCTCGTTGGAACATCTAGCTTGTAAGCTGAAATATGTACACACAACAAAAGTTGAATGATTAGGTAAACAATGGAAGATAAGTATTGATAATTTTTCATTAAACTACGTAATACTGTAGACATTAAAATTAATTTTGGCAATATCATGTAGACACGGAACAGTTATCTAACATCAATTTTACATGACTTTAAAAACAATTAAATTGTCGGCCATGAGAATTAAATGTTTACCTTTGAATCAGAATGTTTTAGTATTTCGAAGCAAATCTTCGGCGAATTATATAAGTTGTATGTAAAAAAAAATCTATCCAAACATTTATTAGAAATTAATAAAAAAAAATGACAATAAAAGGATATTTTAATATTGAGTTCATATATAAACGATAGATGAATAAACGCAATTAATTTCAATAAAATTGAATTCGAATGTGCTTATTAATTTATTGCAAAATAATGAAACAGGTTTTGTATAAAATAATGACATATCGCACGGAACAAATGTTTGAATATACAAAAATGCATTTACAATTCCATCTAAAGTAATACAATACATAATGACATCTTACAATGCTTACCTTATCAGGTTTATCACTTTACAATGGCATAAAAATCTATAACGTTTGCATCTTTGAATGATGTTTATAAATCGATCGATTAATCGATGCAATTGCAAATTAAAACAGATCCTTTCCAGAAAACTATCGACGTATAGAACGAATCATAACTGGAGAGAACCGCTGCCTCGCCTAATCAATAGAAGGCACATTATTTCTCTTGTTGACAAGCATTGTTGGACCGTATATGTCACGGATCGAATATATTACATCAGTGAGAAAAATCATCCGAATAAAATGCAAGTATAATAATAATAATAATATCTTTTATTCCTCCAATATTGAAGAGCAAGATGATAATTTATGATAATGGTTTCCATGCTTCAGCTCCTAGTAGTGATGTTGGGCGTCTAGAAATAGAAATGACCAATGGTGGTTTTGATGAGCTCTGTAAAATAAGACTGATTGTGACGACGACGACAATGATGATGATGATGATGATGATATAGATGATGATAAGCAAATATACGATGCTTTCGTTGGTGATGATAATAATTATCATTATTGTTATTATTAATTATTATTATTATTATTATTATTATTATTATAAGCTGTAACGGGTGTCTTAAGTCGCCGGCTTCAAATCATTTGCCCCACATCGCTTTGAAAGATTTTGTATTCTTTTATACGAAGAAGCTACCCAGCTAGCTTAATTAAGGAATGTCGGTGGTTTCTTCGCCGTCTTTGCAGTGTTGGTGAGACATAACATCCAACAAACAAACAAATGACAAAACCAACATAATGGGTTTGCGACCAGCATGGATCCAGACCAGCCTGCGCATCCGCGCAGTCTGATCAGGATCCATGCTGTTCGCTTACAAACCCTAAAACAAGTAGAGAAACTGACAGCGAACAGCATGGATCCTGATCAGACTGCGCGGATGCACAGGCTGGTCTGGATCCATGCTGGTCGCAAACGCACTAACGCACTATTGGTTTTGTCATGACGCGGCTCAAATGAAAGTGATAACGATTATGTTTGTAATCTTTTTTTTATGATTTGTTGTTGTTTATGTTGTTGATTTCGATAATGATGACATAGATGATGATAGTGACAAAGGTCATGGTCGTCCGGGGGGACTTTGTTTTTGTCTAAATTTAGGTGTAGGGTCATTTTCTACGTAGGCTTGCCAAAAATGCCTATGCTTTTAACGGTCAGTTTGGCGTTTTAGCATTTACGAAGAAACAATAAATATATCCAGAAGATACTTATAAATTCTGCAGGTACGAAACAAAGTTTTATTGCTTTTTTATTGTCGTTTAGTTATTTATTCCTTAATTAAATTTGACAATAAAAATGGCATAACAAAAAGTATTTATGTACTTAAAACCTTATTATATTTGTCATATATTGTTTGTCATATGAAATCCAAACATTGATATCACTACAAAATACCTAAAATTCACGATTTTCACAACTTTCATTTAAATGTTTCATAATTAATGTTTTAAGATCGCAGTGTATTTTAAAGGTACTCCACTGAGGTACGGCCGAATGTCACAAAAAAAAGTAAAATTTCACGAACCGATAATTTTTTGTTACCTGCGTGTTAGGGACATTCAAACAGAATCAGTGATACATTGATATGTGTTCTTTGGATTGGCAAATCGTTTGAAAAACATATTTTCTCCAATTTTGTGGGAAAAGCGTTTAAACACCTTTCAGTTTTGCAAATCTGAATAAAAACAACGGTCACGTTGATGATTCTCGGGATGACTAAAAAGCGAAACGGAGAATTTTTTTGTGTATCGGCAGCAACGAAAGTGCGAAAGTGGAATATACCAACAATCCATAAATTTAAAAGCAAATTATGGGTTTGTTTGTTAAATTTTTTGTTGTTCACATATGTTCTTGTGAGAAAAATCTTTCAAAAGCAATTTCAATATATTTAAAGCATTACATTGTTGTAATCAAGTTTTTTTTCTCCATTACAATGATGAATTTAGCTAAACGTACGGAGTTGGAAACTGACATTCACAAATTTTACAAATATTCTATGTTAATTTGAGAGCTTTCGTGTAATTATTAAATATTATGTATTAACTTTGTAATGGCTAAAATATCATGATATCTAGGCTAAGAAAATTTACTTTGTCAATCAGTGTGATGGGTCCTATTTCAAAGGTCACTTTGGTTTATCTGACACCCGTTCAGGAAAAAAAACTTCGTAATACCTTTTATACAACGAACAAGAACTTGAGTATTGTAAGCATAAAAATTACACACACATACACAGAATGTTATTCCAGAGATTTCTCTTTAACCCTGATCAAAGCACTGACAGCATTGGCTAAATAGAGAATGGATCCGGCCTCATTATAGGACATTTAGGCTTCAACTTTATTAGTTAATATTTCTTATGTATGTCTAGTGCATATAATTAATATCTATAAGAAAAAAATCGATCCCCTTTGCTAGATAGATCTGAAATCTTTATCATTTTACATACATACTTGCATATTTATCCGCATTGGATGTAAACTTTGTTGATGAGAAGATTACTACGTTTTGATCTAGACATTCAAAACTATAGGTAATTGATACCTGTTTCATGCACAGGGTAAACATTATCAAGAAGGTCGGAAGAGAGTTACAATCTGGCTCTATTAATATTATTATTATCATTATTGATTTAGCAGATATCCTGATAAATTTCTTTCTTACTGGAAGGCCTCCGTACTAGTGATGGGTCAATTGAGCTATGATTTAATGTTACCAATATATTGAAGCTTCCCGGTGGAAAAGAAATTGAGAGCGTTATAAGAGTAAAAAAGGAAAACTGGAATAAAGACAAACAAGGCAACGGCAACGTTCACAGGACGCAGCCCCCGACACAGTCAAGTTTCCACAGCTGGGTTATTGCCTTGACTAGTGAAATAAACTTAAAACTGATTATATAGTTGTTGTTCTTTAAACCCTAACTTTCTTTCAAATTAAACGAAACAAACAAAATCATGATACTTGCAAGACAAATGTGAAGGGCAGGTAAGTAAAAGTAACTTTAAGAATTTAGTAAGATATTATTAACCTCACCTCATACAACAACCATAGCTTAAACTGTTTTATAATACTTCCAACTCCTAGACGGTATACAAACTTGGGAAAGGGCAATGCATATCTTAACCATTGTTTTTACTCCTTATAGCCTGTTTATCATGGCATACTCATTGTTAATAGTTTTGTAAATATTTTCATAAAAAAGGTCAGGTTCATTTACCGACTATTTTGAAAACACGAGTGACTGGTTTCAAAAACTGCAATGGCTAAATATTGATCGGGTGCATTTCATTGCATAAATAAGTTAGGAAGAGAACCCTGCTTTTCTTGCTTTATAGCACTAAAACCTTTTTTTTCTCTACTTTTGTCTCTTCTTTCTTCCTGTTTTTCATTTTTTTGTTTAGTATTTTTATTTACCACTTGAAAGCCTGAAATTAAATTTTTCATTGATAATTTAGCTGTGGTCCTGTGTTGCTTGGTCGTGTGGGTGTTGAATTCATTGAATGTTACCATTCCTTTTTGTATTTCTGATCGAAGATCAGGAAATACAAAGCTATCATTCAATCTCTGACACGGCGGTTTCACGACAAACCTAGCAACAAGCTGTTCTTAAAATAGCTGAAAACTAGCGATTTAAAAGAAAGAAATATTTTCATTTTGTTATTAGTATCCAACAAATTACAATGCATTCAAAGTTTAAAAGTAGCTTTGGATTATAGAATTGTCAATGAATGAACATTCACAAATTACGCGGATGAATATCATTTTAATCAATGAAAATGCTATTTTAAGCGATGTCGAGAGCGTATTTCACAAATAAATCTGACTGTCGAGTAGTGGAATTTATACATGTCGGACTGTTTTGGCGAGAAGATTTTTGTTAAATTATTTACATCAATGTTAAACCAACAGGTTTATCTTGAACAAAAAACCTCGAAATTTATAAGGATTACAAACCCGAAATTCAATGGAAAATCTAAATTTAGTATTACTTGATTTTATTCAGGCATTGTTCATATATCTTCTCCGTGGTGCAAGGGTAACGTTTAGTGTGTCTGGTGTTCAAATCCAATTCAAGGCAGTTATTTTTTTATAAAGTTTCTTTGTTAAGGAAATAGCCACGATATGCAAGGATAAAGTGTGGCTGTCATAAAAATGAACATAAATGATTTTTTGATGCAACTCTAGTCATGCAAACTTCCATATGTATCAAACTCTGGTACCAAGCAAGAAGAATTATAGTACATAAAAATAAACTTA